GCTTTTCTGGAAGAGATCTGCAGAGTCAAGCTCCCCAAGAAAGTGCGCATCTATCAGGCTGACAACGCCGAAAAACGCTCGACGAAAATCGGCGGAACGGAACGAGCTTTTCTGAAGATCTGCCGAGTCAAGCTCCCAAAGAAAGCGATCCTTCAGGCGGGACAACGCGAAAAACCTTTCGACGAGCAAATCGGCTGACGGACCGAGCTTTTCTGAGAGATTCTGCCAGAGATCAAGCTCCCCAAAAAGGTCGAGGCTTCAGGGCGGGACAACGCCGAAACAACCTTCGACGAGAAATTCGTCGGACCTCAACAGCGTTTTCTGAGAAGGATCTGCCAGAGTCAAGCTCCCAAAGGAAAGGCGATCTTCCAGCGGACAACGGCCGAAAAAACCTTCGAACGAGAAATCGGCGAACGGAGACGAGCTTTTCTGAAGATCTGCCAGAGCAAGCTCCCCAAGAAAGGCGAATCATTCAGGCGAGATAACCCGGAAAAAGCCCTCGAACGAGAAATCGGGTACCGGGACGAGCTTTTCTGAAAAGAGTCTGCCAAAAGCTAAACTGGCCAAGGAAAGCAGACCTCCAGGATGACAAAACGCCGAGAAAACCTTAGACGAAAGGTCGGCTGACGGGACGAGCTTTTCTGAAAATCTGCTAGAGTCGATGTCCCCGAGAAAGGCGACTTCATGTGCGGGACAACGCCGAGAAAACCATTCGACGAGAAATCGGCTGACCGGGACGAGCTTGTCTGAAAGATCGGCCAGAAGCTAAACTGGCCAAGAAAGCAGACCTCCAAGGATGACACACGCCCGAGAAAACATTAGAGAAAGGTCGGCTGACGGGACGAGCTTTTACTGAGAATCTGCCAGAGTCAAGCTGCCCCAAGAAAGGCGATCTTCAGGCGGATACACGCCGGAAAAAACCCTCGACGAGAAATCGCTGACGGGACGAGCTTCTTTCTGAAAGATCTGCCAAAGCTAAACTGCAAGAAAGCAGGACCTCCAGGAGACAACCGCCTGAGAAAACCATCAGACGAAGGTCGGGCTGCTTGGACGAGCTTTTTCTGAGAGACTGCCAGAGTTCAAGCTCCCAAGAAAGCGCGATCTTCAGGCGGACAAACGCCGAAAAAAACCTTCGACGAGAAATCGGCTGAGGGACGAGCTTTCTGAGAAATCTGCCAAAGCTAAACTGATCAAGGAAGCAAACTCCAGGACGAACAAACGCCATGAGAAAATCAAGACGAAAGGTCGAGCTGTACGGGACGAGCTTTTCTGAGAGATCTGCCAAAGCTTAAACTGGCAAGTGAAAGCAGACCTCCAGAGATGAACAACGCCGAGAAAACCTGTAGAAGAAAAAGTCGTGCAAGACGGGAACGAGCTTTCTGAAAGATCTGCCAAAGCTAAATGACCAAGGAAGCCCAAACCTCCAGGATGACACGCCGAGAAAACCTTAGAAGACAAAAGTCGGGCTGACGGGACGAGCTTTTCTGAAAAGATCTGCCAAAGCTCAAACTGAAGCCAGAAAAAAAGCAACCTCCAGGATGAACAACGCCGAGAAAACCTTAGAAGAAAAGTCGGCGTGACGGGAGACGAGCTTTCGGTGAAAAGATCTGCCAAAGCTAAACTGACCAAGGAAAGCAAACCGTCCAGGAGACAACGCCGAGAAAACCTTTAGAAGAAAGTCAGGCTGACGGGACGAGCTTTTCTGAAAGATCTGCCAAAAGCTAAACTGGCCAAGAAAGTCAGACCTCCAAGCGATGACAACGCCGAGAAAACCTTAGACGGAAAATCGGCTGACGGGACGAGCTTCTTCTTGAGAGATCTGCTAGAGTCGAGCTCCCGAGAGGCGATCTTCAGGCGGCACAACGCCGAGAAAACCTGCGACGAGAAAGCGGCTGACGCGGACGACTTTTCTGAAAGATCTGCCAAAAGCCTAAACTGGCCAAGAAAGCAGACCTCCAGGATTGACAACCCGAGAAAACCTATAGACGAAAGGTCGGCCTGACGACGAGCTTTTCTGAGAGATCTGCCAGAGTCAAGCTCCCCAAGAAAGGCGGATCTTCAGGCGGATACGCGGAAAAACCCTCGACGAAAATCGGCGACGGGACGAGCTTTTCTGAAAAGATCGCCAAAGCCTTAAACTGGGCCAAGAAAGCAGAACCTCACAGGATGACAACGCCGAGAAAACCTTTAGACGAAAGTCGGCTGACGGGACGAGCTTTCTGAAAGATCTGCTAGAGTCGAGCTCCCCGAGAAAGGCGATCTTCAGGCGGGGGACAACCCGAAGAATAACCTTCGACGAGAAATCGGGGACGGGAGACGCGTTTTACTGAAAGATCTCAAAGCTAAACTTGCCAAGAAAGCAGACCTCCAGATGACAACGGCCGAGAAAACCATTAGACGAGAAGGTTCGGCTGACGGGACGAGCTTTTCTGAGAGATCTTGCCAGAGTCAAGCCTCCCCAAGAAAGAGCCGATCTTCAGGCGGACAACGGCCGAAACTAAACCTTTCGACGAGGAAATCGAGCTGGACGGGACGAGCTTTTCTGAAAGATCTTGCAAAGCTAACTGATCAAGGAACAAACCTCCAGGACGACAACGCCGAGAAGAGAAAATCATAGAACGAAAGTTTTCGCTGACGGATACGAGCTTTCTGAGAGATCTGCCAGAGTCAAGCTCCAAAGAATAGGCGATCTGCCAGGCGGAGAACGCCGGAAAAACCTCGGACGAGAAACGCTGACGCGGACGAGCTATTTCTGAAAGATACTGCCAAAGCTAAAAAAAACTGGCCAAGAAAGCAGACCTCCAGGATGAAACGCCGAGAAAACCTAGACAAAAAGTCGGTGTACGGGACGAGCTTTTCTGTTGAAAGAATCTGCCAGAGTCAAGCTCCCAAGAAAGGCGATCTTCAGGGCGGACAACGCCGGGAAAAACCTTCAACGAAAATCGGCTGACGGGACGAGCTTTTCTGAAAGACATGCCAAAGCTAAACTGGCCAAAAGCAGACCCAGGATGACAACGCGAGAAAAACCTTGACGAAAGTCGGCTCGACGGGACGAGCTTTTCTGGGAAAGATTCTGCCGAAAGGCTAAACGGGCCATAAAAGCAGACTTCCGGTGGACAACGCCAGAAACCCTAGACGAAAGGCGGCTGCGGGACGAGCTTTTCTGAGAGATCTGCCAGAGTCAAGCTACCCCAAGAAAGGCGATCTGGTTCAGGCGGACAACGCTCGGAAAAACCTTCGACGAGAATCGCTGACGGGGACGAGCTTTTCTGAAAATCTGCCAATGCTAAACTAGATCAAGGAAGCAAACCTCCATACGACCAACGCCGAAATCAGTTAGACGAAAGGTCGGCTTGACGGGACGAGCTTTTCTGAGAGATTCTGCCAGAGGTCGAGCTCCCCGAGAAGGCGATCTTTCGGCGGACAACGCCGAGAAAACCTTCGACGGAATGGTCGGCTGGATAAGGCGCGGAACGAGCTTTTCTGAAAGATCTGCCAAAGCTAAACTGGCCAAGAAAGCAGACCTCCAGGATGACAACGCCGAGAAAACCATAGACGAAAGGTCGGCGGACGGAACGAGCTTTTCTGAAAGATCTGCCAAAGCTAAACTGGCCAAGAAAGCAGACCGCCAGGATGACAACGCCGAGAAAACCATAGACGAAAGGTCGGCTGACGGAACGAGCTTTTCTGAAAGATCTGCCAAAGCTAAACTTTCCAAGAAAGCAGACTTCCAGGATGACAACGCCGAGAAAACCTTCGACGAGAAGTCGGCTGACGGGACGAGCTTAGTAAAGCTCACTAATGGGGAAGTGTTAAGGTATAACAATACTGAAAATACTGATGGTTGGAAGGCCGCCGAGAGTAGTGAACGGTCTGCGAGGACCGTTCCATCCAGGCAGAGCCATGGCCAAGATGCTCTTTGCGGGAAAACCGGTGAGATGACTGCTGACAGCACCTCCTTTGGTGAACGGTCTGCGAAAGAGTCGCTGTCTAAGAAGAGCGATGAACGAGAACGCAGTGCCGAGATTCTTAGCGAGAGCGCGGCCGATAGTTCTATGTTGAATGAAGAGAAAGTCAAACTTGTCAGGAGATCCAAGAATCAGAACAAAAATACCGAGAAACCAATTGATGAGAAAATGGCTTCCCGCGAATGCTTCCCTGGTCGGCCTTCGAATACCAAGCTCTTCGAGACAGATTTTCACAAACAAGGCAACACTGCGGAAGTCCTTGAGGAGGGAGTCGCTGACGACAAAAAGAGCGTTCTCAAGAATACTGAGGAGAAGAAGTCATTCGGCGAATCCATCTTCGACGATTCTCAGTCAAAGGGTAGAGCAAGTGATTATCCTAAAATGGTGCTTGACGAAAAAATACGTTTTCAATTCTCAGACGGTAATCAGGAAGTTGAGAAAATTCCAGCCAAATGGGTATGTGCTCAGAACACATCCAACATCGAGTTCTCTGATGTTATCCTAGACAAGCCCAGTGAAGAAAAGGGTGCATTAAAAATGACCGCAGTGCTAGTCGGAGACAGCCAGACGTACTCAGAATTGAATAGAACGGCTGTCCTTTCGGGTCAAGGCCACAGTGGCTTCTCCGAGAAGGCTTTGAAGGTAATCGCTTCAGATCAGATTGTCTTCAGCGAGCATAGTTCGAGAAGTCATATAACAAAATCAAGCAAGCAAAAAAATTCGCCCCTTTCGATGACATTTGCCATGAAGGATATAGGAAAGCTTACAGAAGTAGAGAAGGGCAGATTGAAGGCATTCGATGCTCAGTCTGGTATACAATCCCAGAGTGGTACTTCCAGTGATCTCAATTTGAGCATAAGTGAAGTAGAAGTTGAGAGCCAGATTGTGTCGCTGATGAGCGAATGTGTCGACGCTACCACGGAAGCTCTGCACGCTACATCTGAGAAAAGTGCTGTTCCCGAAAACGTGAAATTGACTCGATCCACCTCACCAGCTATACCTCAACTGCCCGTTATTCTTTCTGAAGAAGAAATGACAGACAGTGAAGAATGTTCTTCGGTGGTGTGCTGTTTGTCGATTTCCAACACTGTGAAAGTAGCGGGAACCTTTGTTGTCTCTGTGGGTCGGCCTCAGCAGGTTCTACCTGTTGAGGAGTCGCCACTTCAGAGGAAAGCGTCAGTTGGAAAATTCAAATCTTCAAATATCAAATATTTGTCGGACGAGACGGAAAGATTACTACAAATGAAGGTCAAGGTGTCCGAGAAAGCTTTTAAAATGTCTGAAATCATGGATAGTGAGATCGACTTTGGCGACCTGAGCACTGACCAGATGGCAGACTTCGGCACTGATTCGGACGCCACCATCGAACAATCCGACAACGAATTCTTCAAGCCGAAAAGATCGCGGCTGAATAGCACCCTTAAACGAAAGACGTTGGAAGGTGGGTATTACAGATAGAATTTTTAGAGTGGGCCCTGTGTCTACTTTCCAATTTTTTCAGCACTTAACGAGTCGGCCATGCATGATGCGAACTATCAGGCCCCTGTATTTAGAATCAAGAAACAGAGAGTCAAATGCGCAGAAGGTCATCCTCTCATGGTGAAAGCGTTCATTTCGGCCCATCCAGAGCCTTTAGTATGGAACTTTCGTTCTCTTTTCTATCACTAAAACAAAAAACATTCAATTCTTTCAGATATCTGCGTACCACAACAACGATCTGATTCTCGATGTCGAATCTCTGGTGAAGGAAGGGAGGAGTCTCTACAGTTTCACATTTTCTGTAGATTCGGCGCATGCAGAAAACGGTGGAAAACTCACAATAAAGGCTGAGAACCAACTAGGAAGTGACGAATTCGTCGCGTATATTGAGGTTCTAGAGCAAACGAAACAAAGTACGACATAGTATTGGTTTTTGAACCCCGCATTCTAATTCTAAAGTACCGGAATAATTCTGAGTATGTTCAGGATATTCGAAATACGATCCCAGCACATTTGACCGTGAATTCGAAGCTGCCGAGATAACCAGCTCAGTCGCGGATGTCTCTGTTAACAGAGGAGAGACAGCACGGTATGGTAGCTAGTCAAAATAAAGATCCGAAGGCTTTACCGCACTCTGACAATTCTAGACTACACGGCAAGATGTGTGGCTACCCGATTCCGGAGATGATATGGTTGAAAAATGGAGCAGAATTTGATCCCTTGCTCCACCCAGATAAGTACTGTATTGGTGTTCAACCAGGTACGGTACATTGACTTCTTTACATTATAAACGCTGACTTTTTCATTTTACGATTTTTCATTTCATTTTTTTTCGAGAATACTTCCTTTTCAGATGGAACTTTCACCATGGAAATCGCGGACTGCACTCCCGACGACGACGACGTCTATGCTCTGCTGGTGGAGAACATGGCCGGCATTGACAGCTGCGATTTCCAAGTTTTCGTGAGCAGATCAGGTGAACTATTGACTCGAGGATTTATCAAGATCCTGACTCGTCCGATGAATCCATTCATAATGAAAAAAGGCACATGGGAAATAATAGCCCGCTCATAACTACATTTCGTCTTCTAATAATACAGCCACCTAAGAAATGTTGAAAATTTCGTGTCCCACAAAGTGCAAAGTGGCTGAGGGGAAGGATGTGTCTATTTGATCGCGATTTCGAAAATCAACACAAACAAAAACTCCATGCTAATTTTTCCATAATTATCTTTTTCCTATTGGTCCAAATGATGCAGCCACCCCGTGTTTCTTCGTTGCATTTCATTTTTGCTTAATGAAACTAAATGGCAGTCATCAACATTTCTTTTTTTTGGTTATCACGAACGAAGGCAAGCATTGGACTTCAAAAAGAACAAATCGTCGCAAAAGCGAAGAATTAAGCGCTAGATCGTCACTCTGCGCGAGAATTTAGTCTAGTCGAGAAAAGCTTCAGAATGGCTGGTAATTTCTTTCTGAATTCTGTAGGAAATGGAACTAAGAAGATAGACGTTATTCTTTGCTTTCTGATTAATGTTAAATGCGACATCATGAGACCTCTTTGAAACTTGATATCTCACTCAATAGTGTTTAGTATGTACTTGAGAACTTCCAAGAAGGTTCTAAAGCAAAGCGAAGCGCAGTATTTTTTGAAAAGAAACCGTCGCGAAAATCGAACCATTTCTGCAAGGCAGGTCTAATCAAGCCGAACGGAGCAGGATAACGCTTTTCGCTCCAGATGGTTCCGACCTGGAGCTTTGATTAGCGCTGTAAAACTCGAAGGTAAAGCACATAGGAAGCGAAACCTTACAGGCTAAGAGTTGATCTTCCTCCGGTTGTCTTGGCTACAGGGGCAACCTTGCGTTGCGCAAATTCCAATATTTTTACGACCCCCTCCCTTTTAGAGGGTATCAGTGCGACCCTCCTGTATTAGCTACTGTATTAGCTAGTTATGTCGTTTTGCATATTTCTATGCTCATCATCGATGTATGGGCCTTCATCGAAAGAGGTAGTGCGCAGCAGGAAGTCCGCGAACTTTGTTCCGCACAGAGAATGGGAATCGAGGCAACTGAAATTCACTCTGCCAAATTTCACTCTGCCAAAATTTCCGAGGCGGTCCTTGGAAGTCAATCGAGCAAGTTCTAACTTTCTTCCACTTGCATTTTTTCTGAAAGCATCAAGATTCTTCTGAGGGAGTTTATCTGCTCACGGCCGCTAACAGATAAAGCGTTTCGAAGTGAAAAATCCTGCTCGTGGTGCGCCATGCACCTGTCTGCGCTTAAGAGTCGCACTAGCATTTGAAGGCCCTCCACTCCCCTGGAGACGGTGGTATTATCGCGATTGTAAATGCGTTGTACTCTTACATGGAATCGTTTTCTCCATGCATTTTCCCCGTGTATACGACCCCCTCCCCTTGGGTTGGGCCAAATACGACCCCCTCGTTGTTTTTTGCGCAACGGGCGGTTGACCCTGCTTGGCTACTGTTTTCTAGCAAAAAGCACCCAGTTCTCGTGACGGTTTCTTTTCAAAATCACTACCTTTTTCACTTTCCGTTAAAGATTGATCTTATCTTTAGTTCATACCTATCACTGCCCAGTGGAAGATTATTTAAAAAAAAGACTCAACACCCGTACACTCCTTGATGAAATTTGGTGCTGTTCTCACCCGTAGCTCCAACCAAATTCTTGCGCAGCGTGACCACCTAGCGCTTAATTCTTCCTTGTACGAAGTCCAACGATTTCTTTCTTTTTGTGACAACTCAAAAAAGGAAGTTGATGGCTGCCAATCAGTTCCATCGAGCAGAAATAAAAGCAACGAAGGAACATCGGATGGCTCTACACTTTGGAGACATAGGAAAAACGATCCCTTCCGGAAAAGTTTGAGCGGCATAGAATTCTTTGGCATTTTCAACCTAAAACTGTGTTAAAATTTTTGAAATCGCAATCAAATTTGACACATTTTCCCCTCGGACATTTTTCCAGAATCCTTGTGAATCACGAAATTTTGAGCAATTTCTAGATGGCTGTATCGTTAGGAGACACAGTGTAGTTGTACTGAAGGTCGCTTAGGACATGTTGGGACTAAGATCTCGTGCTTTAACGAGTAGATTCTCACCAGAGTGCCCCTTTGCAGCATTTTTTGAAACCCGATCCCGCTTTAGAACGAGCAGACGTGCTCGCGATGGCGCATGCTGTTTAACGCTAAGCTAAGGAGATCCTCCACAGTGGACTTCATCAGGAAGCCTGAATTTTCCAGCAATTTCCTACTTTAATAAGATGATTTCTCAGCGGCGTTCTCCCTCTATGAAATGAGTGAAGTAAACTGCGACAATTATTCTATTCTAAAAATTTTAGCCGATGACTTGGAAGCGCACAGACGTCGAAGGAAGATTTTGCGTAATTTGCGCCACAGCGACGTCACCTCTTCTGACGGCGAGGTTGAAAGTCAGATCCGCAGGAGACGGAGGAGGATTCGAAAGGTCTGTTAAATGATCCCCTCCACAAAAAGCGCCTAGCGGTAGCATGTCTTTTGTTCTTTAGCTTGTCGAGCGAGCAAATCCGCGCGATCCCGCACTGGCTGAGGGATCGGTTGCACCTCATTTCGATAGCATTCTCTGTGATCGGGACGCGGTCGAAGGTGAAAAAGTTGTGATGATGGTCAGTATACAAAGTGCTCCACTGCCAGATGTTCGCTTTTACTGCGATGGAAAACTAATTTGTGACGATGTAAAGGTGGGTGGAGCTGTCTACCAATGTGGACTGCAAGGAATAAAAGGAGTACGAAGAGTGTGTTGTAGCATGAGATCCGTCACGAATTGGAATCGAACACGCACTGGCTCATCTTAAAGAACGCTGAGAAGACCGAGCAAGCGGAATACGCTTGTCAGGCCGTGAATGCTGCTGGAGAGGCTTGGTGTTACTCATATTTGACTGTTCGGGCTCTAGGTAAGCGCTTTCCTCACTAGTGTGGCAATGGCATCAGGGTGACAGCATTCCATTCAAGATAAGGGTCTTACCGATGTTATGGCAGAGGCGCAGGCTAAGCTCGAAGCTGAGTTGGAAGAGAAGAGTCCTGTGGCAGCAACGCTGGCGTCAGAAATGCAACTTTCACGAGGAGAAACTGAGGTAGATTTTGATTTCTTCTTGTGGGAATTCCAACTGCCACTTCCACCAGTCCATCCTTCACGAATCCACTGCTCTACACTCATTCTCCGTCACGTTTTGAATTTCTTGGTGAAGCGATCAACTGTTCTCGCTTTTAGGATTCGTCGTAGTAGACATAAAAATGTTACCACATAAATGCTCTTCTGGAACTCGTTCGAACGAGAACTGATCAGCTTAGAGAAAAGACTTCCCTTTGTGTTGTAAGTGGGGGGAGGGGAAGCAAAATGAGTACGTTACCATTCATCCCATTTAAAAGTGAGACGACTGAAATGATTTCTCTATATAACTCGTTTTCATTTCTGCAAAATGTGAAAAAAAAACAAAGTGCTTACTAGTCCTTAGAGCCTCGAATGTGGTTCAACTAATCCTTCAAAATGACGTAGTAATTGCGTCAGTGCTTTTACACCTTGTTATCCTTCTCAAGCTGATGCTACTCATCCAGTCGCTGCTATCATGACGTCATAGTTTGAAATGCATTGTGTTTCAGAATGGTTACGATGGGAGAGGAACGAGCGCGCTCCTCCAGAAAACCGAACTAGAAGGTATTGAGGCGAAATCGACATCAGCGACAAGGAAACAAAAGAAACAGAAGAAAGGTGACCCAGCTATGGAAGGAAGACATGCGAAGGAACCAGGGGGGTTCTTGGGGGCTTCCGAAAGATTCGATTTGGAACTGTACGAAGAAATCCGCAGCCAAGGCGAAATTGATCGGGCTGACGCAAAAGAAGTGCTAGCTGAGACCTTGTGGGAGGCTCCAGACAGGACATCTGTCATGCAACCCCACACGAAACAAAAGGAAAAGAAGCATTCGGCTACAAATGAATTTGAGAAAGCACATCCTGGAGCAGAAACTGAGGAAGTGAAGAAAGCCGAGCTCAGCGACACTAAATCGTGTGCGGGTTTCAGTGGTGATAGTGCTCCCGTTGCTACTGCAATGGAGAACAAGGTTGATCATATGAGAGGAGGAAAGGGAGGTGTAGTGGGAAACGCATCAAATCAAAAAGACGAGAGAGAAAACAATGTTGAGAAATTGGGAAAGTGGGAGACATCGAAGTATGTCGTAAGTCCAACCCGACGTGAGTCATCGCCTGATGCAGCTGGCAGGAAGAAGAAAAGCATTCCGAAGGCATTGCTGATTCCAGCTCAGATAAGCTCCCGATTCGGCGATCCAAGCGTTCTTCATTCGGAAGCAATTATGACGACAAGCATAAGGGCTAGGGAGAATTCTGCAGAAGCCTCTTCTCCAATCAAACAGCCGCGGTCGGCAATCATTTCAATGAAGGTGAGCAGCGCTGGACGGACGCGTTCCGCTAGTGGAACTTCTGATGGAGAATTCTCGTTCAATGTCCAGTCAAGCATTCAAGAAAAACCCGAAACAGAAGCTTACGCAACGTTGAATCTCCATAGGGACAAAACCAGTCTCCCTCCTGAGCATGCCAAGAAGGTCGTGAAGAAGCAAGCCGGAGGTGAGCCAAATGTGGCTCCCGCGCCATCTCACGAAATAAGTATCGCACCTGAAGAACCAGAACGGGTTAAAGAAAAAGGAACCCTCGATTTTCAACCTGGTAAAGTTTCTATGGCGGCTCACGAGAATGATCGACCGGAGATTGAGCTAACGTTTTGTGATGGCCTCAAGGCGACCGCTGCATCTCGAGTTGGATATCAATCGCTCTCAGTAGAATCACTGAAGAACGATACCACAGAAGAGAGGAAACGACTGAGAGGCTCTTCCAAAGTCGATCGGGAGAAAGGCGAAGAATATATAATGAAAGGAAAGCAAGAAAAAATGAAAATTGCGAATGATCAGGGAGGAACTGTGGCAGGGGATTTTCCTGAAGAAAGCGTAAATAAAGCAGAACTTGAAGTCGTCGACATTAGTCTGAGAAAGCCTGAAATAGCAATAGAAACCAAGAACGAATCACTTTCAAGATCTCAAAAAGATGCGAACGGATTGGCGAGGACGGCGAACGAGAACCAAATGGTTGTATCAGAAGCGAAACTTGAAACCGAACTGTCAAAGACATCTGAAAAAAGTTTCGTAGAGGGAACCGCAAACGACATTACCTCTGCTGAGAATACGAAAACCCTCCAGTTGAGGAAGAAAGTAAAGCGTAAGGCTGAAGTGGGCAGGCAAGGCCAGAAAGAAACGGCAAGTGACCTGGAGAATGATGGAAATTTTGTGACTGGAGCAGAGATAAAGGAAGAATCCTGCCAGCCTACACAGTCAATAGGAGGAGATAGAGATGGACTTTGCAGTGCGATCGAAACTACAGAGCGGAAGGAAACGTGTGTCAAACGTGTAAAGGGTGAGAAGAAGGCCATGGAGCATGGAATATCGGAAGGTGAAGAAATTTCAAAAAATGAAGCGGCAGGGCGTGAAGATGTTGGCGAATGCAGGGAAAAATCGGAAATTTTGGAGGAGATTAGGGGTGAGGCACGATTAGTGGCCCCAGATCGTAAAAAAGTGACCATGAGAAAGTTGAGGGATAAAGATAAAAAGAAGATGGCTACAAAAGCTAGTCTGGCAGAACCAATTGGAAAGGAAGGAAAAGCAGTCGAGTTCTACTGTGATCCGGAAAGGATGGGAACTATTGGAAGGGCAGATCAAGCGGAAGCTAACGAAGTAGGATCAATTAGAGAAGAGACTGAGCGTCATCCAGACGAAGGCTTTGAACGTGAAGAGCCCACCGAGCACCGCAGAGATGAGAAAACTGCTGAATTCGTTGGGAGGAGCGAGAAGCGAGAAGACAGGACTGGGAAAAAAAGAAACTTGGACAAGCTACAGGAATGTGCCGCTGCTGAGAATGGAAAGATGATCTTGGAAGAACCTTGCGTACTCTCTCATAAGCACAACGACCAACTGGAGTCAAATGATGGTTCGGCCGATGTGAACTCCTCCCTGAAGAAAGGAACAATCGTTCGCAAGGTTTCTGAAGGAAAGAAAGGGGCGGCACATTTCGAAAATGATCAAGAATCAGATTTCAGCAAGACTGCTGTCAATTCGGAAGACAAAAAAACGTCCGAGATTAAATCGAGTGAGGTACTGTCATCGTTCATTGGCGAGCATGAAGACTCACAGAGGAAAGAAAGCGGCGATAACCTCGGCAACCAAAAGGAAGGAAAACGTCAAAAGATTGTGAAGCGACTAGAAAAGAAAACCCGCAAAGAGGCAAGCAATGAAGAGCGGGCTCCCGATGACATGGATTTGGAAGTAGCCATCAATTCGTATCCCATGAACCAAGAAGTAAAGATATCAAGGCCTCTTGAAGAAGCAGACCAGACCACCGATGTTCTTTCAACGAAACGGTCGACTAAAGAAGGTGTTATTGATGAAGAAGATGCAGCACATACGAGCACAACCAGAAAACGAGTGGAACCGAACGCAGATGAGGCAAATCTTATCCCAGCTTTTGATACGGTCGCAGTCTTGGATGCCAACATGAAGGGAATAATTGCTAAGATCACAAAACCTTTGGAGTGCAGAACCGTCGGCAAAGAAGGAGAACCCATAACCTTCAAAATCGAACTAGAACGCCCTGCACATGACATCAAATGGACCAAGAATGGGGAAGCTATTGCAGTCTCTGAAAAATATGATATAGTGTCGGATGGCACGTCCTGTTCGCTCACGATCAAGAACGCTGATTGCGATGATGCAGGGCAGTACGTTGTCGCAGCTGACAAGTCCGAATCTTTTACGGACCTCCACATTCTCGGAAAACCGAGAATCAAGCCCAGCAAGAACAACTTGCTCGAGGTTGAGAAGGATGAGAGCATTATGTTAACTGTAGGCTTTGACTGCCAAGACGATGTGGCCGTCTCTTGGTTTTTCAATGGCGTTCCCGTGAGCGAGGACATGAACGCTCAAGTTGGCGTGCAGGGAAATTTGCTGAAGTTCTGCAAGCGCCAAGCGACAAAAGCCGACTCGGGAGAGTACACAGTGAAACTGTCGAACGAATTCGGCGAAAGCACAGAGGTGTTCATCGTCAATGTCAAAGGTTCGTTTCAATCTCCTGTAGAGAAATGGGTCGGTAAACAATGGTACGAGCTAAATTTTCGCACCCTATGTGCGAGGTGGCCTCATTAAGGCTGACGGCTTAGGGGTCACAACACCACCCAAGCCTCTCCGTTAATCAGGTAAAACGCAATTAATTGAGGAAACAAATCATTCATAATAATAGTTGAAAAATACTCATTTATCACAAATTGATAAACATAATAATCTGTATAGATTTATTTGAGACGTAGCGGGACATTCTTCTACAAAATGCTTAAATTTCCTAGATGCTCCTTCCTGGTAGAGTTCGTTGGAAGTGCAAAATATGGTCATCTGTGCCAGCTTAAATACTTGCCACAAATTCTCCTCAAGGTGTTTCTTTTTACCAGGGGTCCTGCGAAATGATATGGGGGGTAGCCTGAGGTCCTGAAGAAGTCATAGAGGAGGCTCATGAAGGGCATATCTCTAAATGACCTGCTTAGGAAGGACAGTAACGTTTGGCTGGAGACGTGAGATTTTCATCGAAAGCATGCGGATCTCCTTGATTCCATTCACTCCTGTTCGCTTGTTTCAAGTAAAGTGTTCAGGTTTTGTTTTGTAGTTTAGAATACCTTGCTTAATCTTTCAGTTATAACTAGTTAGTGATAGTTGATTGGTGACAACGGGTAATTTTATTAAGCGTTTCAGAAAGCTCTGTGGCTTTCTGACCCCGAGCTTTAAATGCATGTATCTCGGCATAAAGTAAACCTTTCAAGCTGATTAAAAAAATCATTCGAATGCGCGAACCTTTCTCTGTAAGGAGCCATTCTACAGGGAATGCTTGTTCAGAATGCTGGAGCTGTTGAGGCGATGAACTGAGGGGAAGTCGATTTCGCATCATGTCGGGTTTTGATGCATTTCTCTTCAAGGAATCTATCGAGCTTGTCAGAAACGTAACAGTTAGGAGACCTAAGGTCTACTAAGTAAGATGTTCGCAAAATCTGAAGTCCAGCTGGTCCAGCATGTGAAGGGTTGGCGGTGCGATGTACGTCCAGGACACCTTTCAGAGATGTAACCAGCCCTTTATAATGAGGAATGCTGGACACATGTCTTGGAGTTTTTGGTGAATTTTGGCGCAATGTTGAGACTGCTTTTCCACTGTAACAGTTACTGGTTTTGCGGAAGAACCAGGCTAGCCGTCGACCTTATGAAAATTGCTATAACCCTCCTTCACACTGTTGAGAGGGAGCGATCACGCTGGCTTCCACGGTGGATTTGCTACCCTCGCGTTATCAATCGATAAGGTGTGAGCCAGTAATTGTTGGACGAGTGTAAGTCCATGGAGGATATGATACGATGAGATAAGAAGTTGCGGCTGCTTGATAAGAGGGGCACTCCAGAATGAAAATGGGACGATAACGACAGCGGTATCATATATAGCACTCTCTTATCCCACCATTTTCCACATCGATAAGTCTTTGTGTTTGCTGAACGGAATCGGATTTCGGCGCCTCACCACTCCGTAGATAAGGCGCCACTGCCACTGAAACTTTACGTGTTCTAACATTGGGCAGGACCCCTATCCACTCCAGTACACAGCTTTCCTTATCGTCCCTATTAGAATTATCGTGACCACTTCCTTTAAGTTTTGCACAGTTTATACAACTCTATCGCCGTCAAGCTATCCAGCAAAGCTTCGTGGACCATAGAGAAGAATCCGCTCTTTATTGTGCTCTGCTAATCTGTAGAAAAACGAGTCGCTATTCTCACACAAAACAAGCTACAATTTGATGGACGATCCCTCAAATTGGTGATTTGTAGGGGCACGCCCCTGTCAAATTTTTTGGACTTCCCAGCTACTTCCGTATAGCTTGGCACTACAAACCATGCACGCCCAGCTTGGGCAGAACCTCCTCTATGGTCCTACGCACGAGTGTCTCAATCAGAACTTTTGGCTACTGGGTGGCAACTTCCGATATCTGACTACCACTAGTATCATACCCAAGGCTCTCGCTTTCGTTACAATAACTTTTCGAATTACTGCATATGAGCACATTTATTGCGAATCTGAGCCAAGTCCATTTAATATCTTGAACTGTTCTTTCAACTTTCAACTTTCAGGTCTATTCAAAGCTAGAAAAAGAAAGTCATGCCAACTTGCTCGTCGAGTATACCACATTCAAAGCTTTGAAAAAGCTATGAGAGAATGTTTTAGGACAAAGCTATGCCAGGCGTGAGATAGGGCAGGAAAATCTTCTTAAAACAGCATTCATACCGATTGCAGTTTTTCTGGGTTTAAAGCAAAATAGAGCATCCAAAAGTGGAGTGTCAAAAAAACGACAGAACTTTTTGAAACAACTATTAGATTGTTTTTATATTTTGGATTGGCAGTATTTTCCCTTTTAAATACATATTCTTTATTCATGTTGATGGTTTTCCAATTTGACTGCCATTTCCACGAGTCTAGCACACATTTGAGTGGTGCTGTGACCCCTAGGCCGTCTGCCCTCTGCCTGGGTGTGCACCTTTAGTCAGGATTGACCTTTCACACCTCGCCGTGGTTATCTCGCATCACCCTGTAACCTGCCTCTGGGTGAACCTCGCCTAATTAGCTGAGCTGAGTGCTGACCCAACTCCGACAGACTCATTATAGAGGAAACATTGATATTGGTAATAAATTCATTTATACAGTAGCGGTTGGAGGAAACAAAATATCAGAAAAAAAGGATAAAAATGGGAGCTCAAAAATAACTAAGTTTTAGCTAACAGTACTCGCAGTGCAAGCCGTTTCCCACGTAGAACAGCTACGAAAGGTGAAGCTCCAGCTTGGGGGGGGGGAGGCACTCCATTTCTCCAATGCTCAAGATAAGGATGAGAGCACTCGTGACACGTAATCGGCTCATTTAGAGTATACTTCTCATAAGTATCGCAGTAATGTGGAAGAAGTCCCAGGATGTCTTCACAGTTTCGCCTGCCATGGTCCATGGAAACAAGGATAATGGAAACCTCTGATTAGGTCTAGGAGTGGAGGAGCTCCAGGGTGGATGACCTGGGTAGAAAATCGGATAGTATGTGGGCAGGATGTGTGGAACGAAGGGCATCCACCAATCCTTATCAAAAGTACGCTTAAAGCAACAGTCCCAGCATAGTTTTTACCTTCGACACTAATGGTGTAGAACGATGTGCTAGCCCTAGTCAAGAGCGTAAAAAGTGTGACTGTATAGCGATATGTTGGAGGGATGGTTCAGCACTCAGGCACACCTAATCTAGGCAGGAGTCCACAGAGGCAGTTACATGGGTGTGCGTGATCACCACAGGCGAGAGGTGTGAAAGTGTCAATCCTGACTAAGTTTCTTCTCCCCGGGTGTGCACCTTTAGTCAGGATTGACCTTTCACACCTCCTCGCCGTGGCTATCACGCATCACCCTGTAGCCTGCCTCTGGGTGGACCTCGCTTAATTAGCTGAGCTGAGTGCTGACCCAACTCCGACAGAGTCATTATAGAGGATATATTGATTTATTTATTTTTTGGTCAATCACAGAATAATGTATGGCACAGTTGCCAAGTAATTCAGAACTTATTGACTTTTCTTAAAAGCTAGTGCAATATAAGTGAGACAAAACCCTATAAGATCCCAAGAGAAAGTGTGTATTGAGAAAATTGGGGAACAGTGCGTTATACATGGTTTTTCTCTACTATTAGACCGCATGAGGGCTTCAAGTGTATATTAGGACCGCGAGGCACAGAGCCCTGGAAATAACCAACTGTCGAGGCCGCAGCACAACAGGGGCTTGTGCCGTGTGCACCTCTTTGATCTTAATACGAACCCCAGGAGCTTGCTCGTGTGTTTACGAAGGCTGTCTAGGGGCGCTTAGCGTGGTTGACTTTTGAGTAGTTAGTGCCCTGCTGGTGATATTGGTAGTAAATTCATTTACACAGTAGCGGTTGGAGTAATCAGCTCATTTAGAGTAGACTTCTGATAAGTTTCGCTGTAATGTGGAAGAAGTCCCGAGATGTCTTCACATCTGTCTGCCATGGTCCATGAAAACGGTCCTGGAGAAGGATAATGGACACCTCTGCCTAGGTCTAGGGGTGGAGGGGCTCCAGGGTGGATGACCTGGATAGAAAAGTGAATAGCATGTGGGCAGGATGTGTGGAACGGAGAGCATCCACTAGGCCTTATCAAAAGTACGCTTAAAATGAGTCGTCTACTTATTATCTTATCATACCGTTGAATAGCACAATATAGCACAAGTGAATGCTCTCTAGTACTACGTATAAGTTAGCAATGGAGTGGCCCCCCAATCTGAAGTTTCACTTTCGAAATTGAAAATTTCGCCTAACTTCCCTTCAGGCAAACTAATTTATGAAAGAGTGTTGCCAAAAACGGCACATCTCAAGAAGAAATAGAATGACTTTGCAGTAGGATGTGGAGAAATGTCACTAATACATCTAGTATTATCTGAATTTTCTGTTAATTATGCGAAGACTTGTATAAATTAAACTTTTAATTGTTTCCGTGATTTAGTAAAGATGGACTTGATAATCAATACTGCGTATGAGAGCGATATGTTGGAGAGAGGTCAGCACTCAGCACACCAAATTAAGCAAGTTCTACCCAGAGGCAGGTCACCGGGTGGTGCGGGATAACCACGGCGAAGAGGTGTGAAAGGTCAATCCTGACTAAGTTCCTTCTCCCCGTCTGCCTTAATGAGGTCACTTCGCAGTTATCCATGGAGTATTCTTAATTAGGTATGAATCGTACCATTCTTTAGTGACCCGTAGAGAAATAATCATTAGAGTAGGGCCTCTTTGTATCAGATGCGCCTGGACCACCTGTGGGAATCTCTGTCAATGAAATAAACCGCGACTCTATTTCGATCGCTTGGCAAAAGCCCTTGGATGATGGAGGCGTGCCGATCACAGGATACGTGATCAAAAAGAAGGAAGCTGGGCGACGGACCTTCCAAAAAATTGCAGAGGTATTTCCATAAGGTGTATGCTGTCTAAGGCGTATATGATTGCTCTTCAGATATCTGATGAGAAAGTATCTCACATTGTGGAGGATCTGGAAGTGGCGACTGACTACGTACTGAGTGTGGCCGCTGTCAACAAGTACGGAGTCGGTGAAGCGATGGAAATTCCGGTCGTACGTCGATATTCGTAATCTTTGAGAGCAGATCTCTGTGACAACGCGCAGTTTGCTTTTTCGCAGAACAGTGGCATTTTATAGGTGACCGCAGGCGAACCGTTTAGAGCTCCGCAAATAACGGAACACCCCTTCATTTCTGACATCAGCAACGATGGTTGCGTACTGAAATGGAGTAGGCCCGAAGACGATGGAGGAACGCCTATCCATGGCTACCATGTCTACCTTAGAGAGAGCTCCGGAGAGTGGCAAAAGGTCAACACTTAACAAAGCTAATACCTCAGTTTCTTTAACAGAATTTACAGGCGATTCTCAGACGTGTGTTCCATTTAAGGTCAACAGCGAACTCGTGTTTGCCACTCGATTCTCCGTGGGAGATCTTCTCCAAGGTGTCGCTTACGAGTTCAAGGTGGAGGCTGTCAATGAGGCAGGGCTCGTCTCGAACTCCAATGTGGCTTCACAGCCACTTTTCATCACACCAGTTTGCGGTAGGGCTTGTTCGGGCAAGCTTTTCGACATTTGATCCATTTCTTCTGTAGGCGTTTGAAAGGAGATTATTACACTCGAGTTTTCGACAACCTTTTCAGAGATTCCCACAACAGTCCTGTCCGTACCACGCATCACCATCACCAGTGCTGACTCTGTCACGGTAGAATGGGATGTTCCCAAAAACGTGACGCCTGCTGAATTCACCGTCGCCTACAAATCGGAGAGTTCTTCAGTTTGGAATGAGGTAACAACACATCAATACTTTTTATCCTTGTGTCAATTCCTTGCTGACTTATCCGGGAGCTTACGCTACCCCGCATTAGCTATTCTGGTAGCTATTGCCGAAATTGGTAGAGCAGCGTCGTTCTTCCATCTTCCCCGGTGGGATTGTTCATAAAGGGTGGGTCAAAATTATGAGGGCCAAGACATTATGTCTTCAAAAACGTTGCTGGATCAAGCAGCAAAATCAGAAAAGTGTTTGCTACAATTATCTCCAAGTAACTCCAGAATAGGACAGATCTGCCATCTGCTGCGTTTACGCGAGCTCTTAAATGCGGAGGGATGGCGTGTGCGGTGGCACGCAACTAGGAATGTCAAAATAATTCCATTCTTTCTGCTTTGCCTCCTCCAGGTGGACGAAAGTTTTCTGGGGTTTTATTTGCACTCGCCATAAGGTTGTACCATACAGGAAGATTAAGGAAGTTAAGTGGATGATTCCTAAGTAACAATTCATTGAACACAACGAGCGCGAAAAATCGCTTTTCGGAGGATTTTTCCTTTATTCTTGGCTGCTCGTCTGTAAAAAGTCGCATGTAAAGCACTTGAGCGGCTTTCAATCCACGACCGATTTGGAGCCTTGGATTGCCCAGCTCGATTTTCACATCAATTTTGTTCGTTTTGGGGGGTGCAAAAGTCGACAAGAGGAAATTCTGCATCTGATAATTGTCCTGGTAGTAACTGTTACCTTCGAATCTCCTTCTTTTCCACCTGTGGTGGTTCCGAACTCATTGCAGCGTTCAACTATTGCCCATAAGAGCTCCCCGTTACATTGAACTGTTGCTAGGTGTAGCGTGCCAGAACCCCTGACGAGTTGTACGTACGCAATACTGTTGTTTCACTAACTTTTTTTTTTCGAGAACAGTGTGATATTTGGTTTCAAAACAAAGAAGACATTGTACCTTTTTACATAAATCAGAAATTCACGCGAATCCCGCGATTTCGCGTTATTTTCGTGAATTCGTGATAACTCAGTGTTACGTTTCCAAAATCCGATGATTTCCTTAAATTCAGCTTCTTAAGGACTGTAAGGATATGCTTTCGAATTTCAGAAAAAAAGTTCATGTAGGATTGCGCCATGCACTTCAGTCTTATCTCGAGAAGTAACTGATTGGATGTGATGTCTACAAAAACACACGAGTGGCCTGGTCGCTCTGTGGAAGGGCGGGTTTCAAAACACCCCAGAATGCGCCACGTACTCGACTTTGTCCACTAGATTGGATTAATTGAACATTTTTTTCAGGTTCCACGGTTTCTAATTCATTTCAGAGCGCTGAATGGTAAGACATATCGTCTCTGCACCCAAAATTTTCTTCCTCGCGTTCACTTCTTAATATTGGATCAGATTTCGGTGGGATTAGTGGGCCTATTTTATAACATTTTCCACAGCTAAGGGAAACGTATCAAAAAGGAAGCAACAGAATGTCTCTATTCGGCTACGGTACCTGTCTGTGGAAATTAGATGCGATTCTTGGTTGCAGGTGATTGCTTCTGATGTGACCTCAAACATCACCCTTCGTCAGCCCTTGTGAAATAACCGGATCTTTTTGCTTTTCCAAATGAAGATACAGACCTGCAGTGTTCATGCAGATCTTCACAACAAATACTATTGAATGGTACACAACACATTTCGCTATCGGAACTTTGTTTTTCACTCTTTGCGGCCTTTGCCTGACTGCCAGTCGACTTCCCCAACCCTTAACGGTCACGTACGATCCAGCGCCGTGTGTGACTGCTCAGCTGACGGCCGACTGCCCTCTGTCGTCGTTGGCGGGTAGTATGGTCGCTCCACGAACGTAGGAACGGCGTCACGCACCACGCACGTGCGTGACCCCGTTCCTACTCGTGGCCGTCAAGGGCTGGGGAAGTCGATCAGCAATCAGGAGAAAGCCGCAAAAGTGAAAAACAAAGTTTCGATAGCGAAATGCGTCGTGTACCATTCCATAGCATTTTTATGAAGGTCTGCATGAACGTTGTAGGTCTGTAAGCTCATTTGGAAAAGCAAAAAAAAGTTATTTACAAGGGCATGACGAAGAGTGGGGTCACATCACGGAACAAGCACTCATCTGCAACCACGAATGCCATATAATTCTAAACAGTTCTAATTCCTACAGAGGTAGGGCAGGTAACTGTATCCTACGACAGTGAAGAGATTCTGTCGCTTCCTTCACAGATTTCGGCGGAACCTTCCTTGAACATTGGAAAGTGTCCCAACATAGGCCTATCAATCCCGCTGAATTCTGACCTAGTATCACCACGTGAGCGCGAAAGAAGAAAATTTTGGGTGCAGAGACGACACGTCTCACCATTCAGCGCTTTGAAATGGATCAGAAATCGTGGAATCTGGTAAAAAATATTCGATTAATCTCGCAATCTCATGGTCAAAGTCGAGCTCGTGGCGCCTTCTCATCAGGTTTGAAATTCATCTTTCTAGGGAACGATCATGATTTTTCAGTGTGGTTGAGTACGCATCACATCCAATAAGTTACTTCACGGGATGAAACTCGAGTGCATGGCGCAGTCCTATATGAAGCTTTTCAGAATTGGAAAAAAATATTCATAGTCCCTGACAAGCTGAATTCAAGGAAATCATCAGATTTTAAAAAATAATTTTAAACTGAGTTATAACGATTCACGGTTCACAAAACAGCTCAAAATTGCGGTTTGCGCGTGAATTTTTGATTTAATACGGTGACTACAGTACTTGATTCTTATTGCAGCTTGTGTTCTAGAAACTTGCAATTGCGTCCCCTGAAATGATCTCTTTGGGAGATATGTTCACGATTCCTTCCCCAGTTCGATCTTGTGAAGTAAGCCTCCCTATACCTTCCTGCATCAATCGTACCGATGTCGGTGTAGTCGGCTCTTGAATACACTGATAGGGTTAGTTAAAGGCACGAGTCGGGATTGAATTGATGCGCTATTATCCGAACGTTAGGCGAGGGGCGCAATGAGGAACATTAGTGAGGAGAAAAAGCAAAAAGCACCATATACAACACTGAATTTCCCCAAGGAGGCCGGCCGTACTTCTACGGAGAGACACAGCGCTGCGAGGCGAGGGAGAACGCGAGACAGTACGTCGTACGCGAGAGGACGCAGAAACCACGTATGCCTGGCAGCGCGGGCAGCGCGGCGGGCAAGGCCTCAGCGCCATTATCGCACTTTTGAGTCGCGATAGTGTCGCGCCCTGACTGTTTGGGAAGCCCATCATCGCACCGTGGGAAGAACTTCTGCTGGTTGCCTAATCCTGACTCGTAGCTTTAAGGGAGGCTTGATCAAGGTGATTCACGATCCAGTGTTCTTCGACAGAGGGCCATACTTATCTCGCTGAGACGGAAGGGGTCGTATCTTATAGGATAGTAGACGGAGACAGGTGATGAATAAAATAATAGTGTATACGTACAGCCTTGCGGTCATTGACGATATCGGCTAACTGGCTCAACACGTTGTGCGTGTGAGTGCTGACAAGCTATGGTGAGTACACCATGAAGAGCTGAGTTGGCATGAAGTGATGCCTCGGTAGCGTAACTTGTAGCGCACTTGCCCAGCAGGTTTGAGTCCCGTCTGGAGCGAATTTTTCGTTCACAACCGAGCAGTCTTGCAAAGTAGTAGGGTTTTTAATGTGTTTGAGCAGTGAGTGCTGAGTGAAGCAGGGAAATCGTCGATAAACTTCCTCTATAGAGAGAATTTCTAGGTGAACTGCAGCGCCAGCTTCTGTCGGATCGCTGGTCTCAAAGAGGATGTATCGTATGTGTTCAAGGTTGCCATGCGGAACGAGAGCGGCGTTGGAACCTTCTCACAGCAATCCGAACCGATAAAAATTAGAGGTTAGCAAAAAACCATGGAAAATTTTTTCAACAGCCTTCTAAGACATCGATGTTCAGCCAGCAAGGCTCCAACTGTGATCAAGGCGATACGCGATGTTCTGGTGGCCAACAAAGAAACCCTTCGGCTAGAATGCCATTCCAGCGGATACCCCACCCCTGAGTTCATCTGGTACAAGGACGGCGTCGAAATTACTCCTCAGAACGACAACGTCGAGGTTCGTTCATGCGTGACAACCTTTTCTAACTAGGTGAAATTTGTTCTTGTTCGTCTATAAAACAGTTTGTGCTTTATAAATTTCTTTGTGGGTGGCAGCTTTCTTGAGCTTTCCAGTCATTGCTTCACCTATTGAGCGTTATGTGAACTATTTTCTTTGGTCTGAAGAACGGAGTCCCAGAGGACAATCACAGATGAGGCACTCCTGTGTATGAAGGTCGCCCGACAAGGGCGCTAGCATCATGCTAAGATAGCTTCGAGAGCTCCAGTTCTCCATGTCGTCAGCAGACTGCTATATGGCTCCATCTCAGCTGTGGAGCTCTACCACCTCACATTTCCTCTCTGCGCTCAGTCCATTGTCCAGCACAGCCGCATAACGAATTGATTAAGCCCTTAACGCAAGCGTTTCTGGTGGCGGCTCTCTTGATTCAGTTCACCACAAGTCTCATCTGGGAATGCTGTGCAGACGCTCTCCTGCAAAGTAGATATTCACCAGTTTATGGCAGGAAACAAGTAATTTGTAACTAATAAACATCCTCTTGCGACTGCAGGGGATGGAAAACTTCTATGTTTCGAAGGAGCTGTCCCACTTAATTCACCCTTCATTACATCAAAGTTGGTTTCTGTGACGTTTGGCCAAGGTTCGCCTCTTCGAAAAGACATAATGTTAATGACATTAATGTTGAGTTTGGAAAATTGTTTATCAATAATCTCACCCCAAGCATTTTAGGCACATTCTCTCTGCTATTACAAACCTATCAGGCACACGATCATCTTCATGAATATGATCCATGAGTGCAATCACATTTGCTCACTCATATTTTGCAGTCTACTAGTTTTACCAACTTCGGATAAGAGCGTAATTAGAATCCAACACCTCCCTCTTTATATTTTCAGATTATAAGCGAGGGGCACGTGGGTCTTCTCATCATTCACAGTGTGGGCAATAGTGACAGTGGATCCTACAGCTGTGAAGTGGTTAACCCTCACGGATGGACGAAGTGCACGGCCTCCGTCAGCGTGACTGGTATGCCCGGGTAGTATCAGAGAATGTACTGAAAGATGTTTAAATTTTTTTCTACTTCAGATGTGCGATGCCACTTCGAGTCGGCTTTCCCTGAGAATGTCGAGATTATGGAGGCGCAGGATTTGACGCTGTCCTGCACTTTGTCCGATAAAGATGGTGCAGTCACATGGTTCAAGGATGGTAAAGTCCTTGACGGGAACGACCGCGTTCTAATCTCAAGTGATGGCGCAAAGCGTACCCTGAAGATATTGTCGGCAAAGGATACCGATAAGGGCACATATCGCTGCGAAAGTTCCGATGGAAGAAGCAGAACCGAGGGAGAAGTGGTGGTGAAAGGTAATTATGGCAACTTCATAAATTATATTTCATAGTACAGGTGTGCCTTCCTTGTTTTTTCTTTTTCCATAAGAAACCCGAAGTTCTTTTCTTCAGGACAAGCGCCCCAAATTACAAGTGGTCCCCAGGATTTGATCGTCGACAAGATCGGAATGGATGCAAAATTTTGCTGCAAGCTCTCCAGACCAGCTCATCAAGTTTTATGGTACAAGAATGGAAAGGAGATTTGGGCACAGGCTAACAAGTACATTATCACCACCTCAGGAAATGCTTCCACCCTTGAAATTCAGAATATCGACAAGAGCGATATTGGAGACTATTCTGCAGCTTTGAACGAAAAAGAACACTCGGCATCTGCCCACCTCAAGCTCGAGGTGCCCCCCCAAATAAGTATTTGGGAGAACTTAGACGGTGATGTTGTGTTCAAGGTCCACGACGAACTTGCCTTCCACGTTGAAGTTGACGGCCATCCGCACCCGACTGTCAGCATCTTTCACAAGGATTTACGAATTCAGAACAGGGCATCAGTCGACGAGTACGACAACGTCGTCAGTGTTCGCATGAAGAACCTTAGCCGGGACGACTGTGGCACTGTGACAATCACGGCAGAGAACGAAGTCGGAGCTGTGCACAGAGAATTCATCTTGGTCGTTCTCGATGTACCTTCAGAACCGCTCGATTTGAGCTCAGCAGAGACCACTGTGAATTCCACGATGCTCTCGTGGAACAATCCTGAGAAAGCCAATGGAGCTCCAATCACCGGCTTTATAATAGAGCGCAAGGCCGTCGATAGCAATAGATGGCGCCTTATAGGCCGAACCAGCGCCGACACAACGCAGTTCGAAGCGACGAACCTGGTCAGTAGTCAAGTCTATGAGTTCCGCGTTATCGCTGTGAATTCAGCGGGAGAGGGATCACCAAGTTGCTCAATCGATGTTCTCACCAAAGACGACGAAGAATCCAAACTAGGTTCTTCGGAGAACTCGCTTCTATTCTTACTCGAAACCCCAGAAATCCCCGAGGCAAGCTTGGATGGAACAAAGGTTACATTGTCTTGGAACGCTGTCCCCAACGCCAATGTTTACCAGCTGGCACGACAGCGTGATGAAGGCGATTGGCTTGAAATTGGTGAAATGGAAGAAACGAATTTTGTAGACTCTTCATTGAGAGAGAACGGATCGTACCGCTACAGAGTGGTTGCCAAGAGTTCCAGTGCTGAGTCTAAGCCTAGTGATAGCAGCACCACTCTGCTGATACGAGCACTTGCTGAACAGATAAACGATGAAGGAACAGTTGCAAAAGTTGGAAAAGCTAAAGGCAGAGCGGACCGCAGTGAAGCAGAATTATTAGAGAAACGTGATGAATCACCCAAGCCCAGTGTAAAGAAACCATTGAACCCCGTGGATGATATCGTGAACACCAAACAAAGACTGAAAAAGCGGAAACCTGTGGAAAACGAGCGACTGTCAGTACAGCAAGACGTTGATGATGCCCATTCCCCTCCCACTGCATTACAGCCTTCCCAGGCTAAGGAGACCTTCAAAATTGAATATGCCGAGATGGCTAATCAGCAAGGAAACATAGTAGGGCGTTTAGAAGGTTCTCATATCGACAACTCGGATGAAAACCTGTCCATCAGTCAAGAAGTGGTTTCAAAAACAGATGTTGGAGCAGTTGCTTCCTCTGGTGCAACCGCCGCCGTACCAGCAGACATCCAACGAGGTACAAACCTTTGAACTACTCTTGTGCTGCCGTCTAGCCATAACACTCATTCCTTAAGCTTTAATTCTTTACAAAGTCATTTGACCAGTTATTCATTAGTCTGTAACATTGGTCTCGCCCATTCAACTCCATCATTAAGGGAAACCCACGATTCAACTCGAATCTGGCAGTGTAGAGGTGAAATCTGGTGAATGCGCTATACTGAAAGTGAACGTGCAAGGAGGACCGGATTTGAAATGTGTATGGAAAAAGAATGGAAAGGTCGTCAAGGTAGGAAATTTGAAAGATTTCTACGCTGAAGCTCAATATAGGGTGGCCACAAATTACTGTAACAACATAGGGTGGTTACAGAAAATCTGCACAACATGTAAATGGAAATCGGAAAACGTAGCTGTATCCATTGAAGACTAGAGAACGAAACACGGGATTCCTTCTCAATCGGGAATTTGGATCTTCTCCCGCTCGCGTGCCTTTTTCTTGAGAGACTTCCTGGTGCTCTGTAGCCATCAGGGTGAATATTGGTCGAGGAAATCCTGGACAGGGGGGTCGTACTTGCCGGGCTGAGTCATAGGGGGGTCGTACTCTTGGGGGTCAGTAACAGCAGTGGTATCGTGGTGCAGATAGGTAAGAGGGTATAGCACAGCAGAAAATGAAAATATCTGAAAAAAAAACATGATATTAAATTTTCTTGGCAGGTTTAGTTGCTCCATTCCACCTTGATGAGAAGGGCGTATTCGAAGGCAGTACAAAGAATGAAAGTGCATCCCCACAAAGAAGACTGCCACATGTGCGCACGCGCTTCAAAGGCACCTCCTCTGCCTATCGCTCGCTCCTTCTCCCTTAATGCCTCGCTGAGAACGACACTGTTGTTAGGGACCTTTAGGTTGTAAGAGTTACGAAATGCGTTTACTACAATGCAGCTTCTGTCAACTGGTCATGATCATATGCACCTTTGAATCGATTCTGCATCTTCGAGGTCGGATGCATGGCCTATACTCAGACAAATTCGATGATGACGATTGCCCCTTTTCCTATTGCTTATTGGGAGGATGTTTTCTAGACCCATTTCAAGCGTTGCTGACAATTACACTTGCAATGGTGAAGGAAGGACGGATTTCCAGGTGGCCGGATCCGTCCTCGTTACATACTCGACGCAGATATCTTCTCAGATATCGATTCTGAATTAATTTGCTCTGTTTTGGGGGGTCGTGCCAGGATCTCGATTTCGGGGGGGGGGGTCGTAGTTTTGCGATCACGTACTCGAGACGATGTTCACCCTGGTAGCCACTAGTCAAAATCACAGGTTGAATTTGAACATGCCTGTGGCTGCTCTTGTTATCGTTTGTGGCCACCCTATATATTCGGATTCTACCAGCACTGACTTTGGACACGCTTTTTGCACTTTCCAGTTAAAGGTTCTGATCGGTCAGAAATAATGTTTTTGACAAGTAATCATAAATTTTAAAATCTAATCTTTCTCGTTTAGTGAGTTTGCTTTCTTGATGTCGCTCCTTGTCCACTTGTTGGTAGATGAACTGCTTTTTGACAGCGACCCAGGGTCTATGCTTTCGGTCTTGTCCATTTTGTGATGGTGATTTTGTAATAGTAAAGAAGTAGGTCTGAGCTGATTGTAACCACTTCCAGTTTATTGCACTGCCTCCAGGTGATTTACACAACTGTTACATTCATGATAACTCGGGTTACTTTTCCAGATTATAGTAAATTTGTATCCCAGAAGACTACAATATCACATCAGATGCAAATTGGGACGGTAGTAAATGGCTTCAACTGCTAGTTTGCACGTGAGCATGAGCTCGTGGTAACTTGGTGATAGCTTCCAAAGGCCGCTGTCATAGTTTGCGAAGCGAGCGATTCGCTGCACCCGAGCGTTGCGCCAGCGAATCGGACGTTGCACCAGCGAATCGAACTTTGCGTCAGTGAGTCGAACGATGTACCAGCGAGTCGGTACCAGCAACTCAATAGTGGCGGGACCCACCGTTTAAAGGAAGCCCGCCACTTTCAAACAGTGTCACGTGACAGTGGACGCTGTTTGAAAGTGGCGGGACTTTGCAGTGGACGCTTTGAAAGTGGCGAGGTTCCTTTAAACGTTGGGTCCTGCAACTGTTGAGTCGCTGGTACCTATTTCTACTCGCTGGTACATCGTTCAACGCGCTGGCGCAAAGTTCGATTCGCTGGTGCAACGTTCGATTCGCTCGCAACGCTCGGATCCAGCGATTCGCTAGCGAGTCGCTCGTTTCGCAATCTATGACATCGGCCAAACAAAGTTACCCTAGAGTATGCGTAGAACACCTCTAAAACCCCCCGAAGATTCCCCGTCAGAATGATCGAAGTTAGTTCGAACTCACTCTGAAGTGGGGACGACGATTCATTCATACACGTTCCAGTAAGAGGATTAGCAGGGTGGTCATCCAAAAGCTAACATCGATGGCGGCAGAGAAAAAGGAAATAGCGCGCGCGCGGTGGAGGGCGCAAACATGCTGCCACTCCATCTCTGGGGAGTTCTCCGGAGGAGGACTTTTCAAAGATAAAGTGGCAGCATAGCGATTTCCAAACAGCCAGGCTGCGTGGGTCAAAGCAGTTGTTCAAAAGGGAAAGGGAGCACCTTGCATTGATTCTTCAATGGTGTAGCGCCTGCAGTCGACGTTGTTGTTGAGTCAGTCACGGGATCGATACCACTAGATGTCGAAACCTTTGTAACTTTTGTGGGTTATTGCCTTTCCTCTACAACTCTCACCGTCGATAAGAAGGGCTCCATAGTGCAGTGGTGGCGATGCCGCTAATGGGACGGTGCACCGAAGGATCAAACCCGTGTGTGACGCGACTTTTGCAAGCAACGTGGTGGATGCTCACCACTTTATCTATGGCAAATTGCCATTGGCTCAATGGGGACGTTCCACGCTGCCGCTGGCAAGGTTGCTAGATCAGCACCGTATGGAGACTAAGATTTGCAAACAACATCCATTGTATACCTTTTATCAACATCTCTTACAGTGGTGTGGTCGAGTGATCCCTGATGCATTGGCAAAAAAACCCCACTATGAGCCCTAGGGCTCAAGTCCGAGAGAAATGCAAGTTTTGCAGGTCGGGTGGCGAGGCTGGCGGTTTCAACTAGGGTCATGTCCATGTTTCCACGTTCTCTATCCCTTGCCAATGGTAAATCAGCACATTTGATTGCCAGTCTTTGGCACTTTACTACCGTCCGTGGTCATTAAACTTTGAGGTTCACATGTCAAGACGGGGACGTGTCAGAGTTTGGGAGTCCAGCAATTCGCTGGCGAATCGCGGAATACGAGCAAAGCGCCAGCGGTTCGAATTATGCACCAGCGAATCGAAGCCAGCGGTATGAGCTATGTATGTACTCTAACGATGTGCCACGGACGCGACTGACGACTGTGTTTGAAGTTGGCGGGGCTCCCTCTCGTTCACGCTGGCTCTCGCCACTTTCCCATGCTCACATGTGCACTAGAGAGGTGAATACATGAAAGCCAGGAAGTGGCGAAAGCCAATGTGCAAACGAGAGTGACTTCCGCTGCTTTCAAGCGCTGTCGACTCATTGGCACATCGTTCATTCGCTAGTGCATCGTTAGAATCGCTGGCCCATCGCAACCCCACGAATCGCTAGCAAATATTGGACTCGCAAAGTCTGACACCGGCTAAAATAGGAAAATGCCTCGCTAAAAGTGGAAATTTGGATTGAACGTCAACCACGGTCTGTGCCAAAGTAATCTGCTCTTTGGGACTGTGAAGATCTGGATCAGGGTGAAAATCGTGCTGTGGACGTGGTCGCAGCAGCACTACTCGCTCCCCCCTCCCCCTAAAATCGGAGTCTTGGTACGATCCCCCTTATTTTGTTTTTTAACGAAAACGTTTTTTTAAATCATATCACGCGAGAAAGCGAAGGGGTGCAAGTATCAGGAAGTGACGAATCGTGTATATACAGGAAAAATATTCACTTATATCATACGCGCCCAGGCAGAGGATCAAATCCTGGATAGTGTGCCGCCCAAGCCGCCTTCTATTTTTCTTCCGGGGCCACCAAATGGTACCAAGAATGGGAGCTTGTTTTGCCTTGGAAGACAAAGAAGAATCCTGTGCGATCGCTACGACGGGATAATTGTAATGAACGAACAATAACAACGATAACACTAAAACACAAATGAATCCAAAAATCAAGCTATGTACTGCGAGCAATGTGAAAGTCAAGCTGCGGTGCGCTTCATCCTTGGGTCAGATTTGCTGAAACCCCGCTCCAAACTATGGAAATTTACGGTTCGTTCAGAAAGTACCATTCCTCCGTTTCGGAACCGTTCGAACAGTATGTGGTAAGGTTAGATAGAGCTAGGCTACTAATTACCAAGCAGTGTTAAAACTGCCTCAAAAGCCTTCCACTCGGAGAGTTAGGGTCCCTCGTACTGCGTCGAGTCAGCATCAAGAATGCTGAAAATTTCAACGAGTTTTTGCGCCACTGGCAATATCTTTCTACTTTCTCGAGAACTTGAAAAAGGAAGACACTCTAGTTAAGCAAAAGGTTTGTGGCTTCCAAAAAACATAGTTTACTGCTTCCAAATACGTCCTTCTTATAAAGGTGGAGGCATAAAGCGACTGAACCTGCGAAGAAGATTTTATATCGGGTTTTCTTACTTATCGTCATTTTCTCATTCGTACGCCTTTTCACACCTATCTGTACCATGATGCTACTGACGCTGCTGTCCTCCACGAGTACAACCACCCATAACCCACCTTAACAATTACGACCTCCCCCCCCTGTCGAAGATTTCCTTGACCAGTATTCACCCTGTTCTATGTAGATGTGGTCTCCACTCCTTTGCTTGTCTTTATTTTTTCAATCACAATATGTGACTGAATTACTTTGACGGAATTATTCCCTCAGTTCAAAGGTGCACTTTCAGGCTTCGAGGAACGTGAACGCCTTCTATAAAGACGGTGTTGCTCAACTCAGCATCAAGAACGTGGAGCC